TAATGATGAATTAGTATTTGGTTCTTAACTAAAATTTACAACAAAAAGCCAACATTTGAGAAGGAGGTGCCTATAGCATTACCCTTTAAACTTTCAACACAAAACCATGTATATCCTGACTATGTTTACTTGGAAATAACTCCAGTTTCACTAGGACTTTCTCCAAATAAGTAGCCTTCAGGCTGCAGCTAAAATCATTCAGGTGCTATGGTTTCTATTTATAGTGGCTTGGTCTGTGGTGTTGAAATCATGTATGATGACATGAAAATGTCAGTTGCATCTTGGAGCTTACAATATATGTGGCAGAATTCATTATCTTTGTAAAGTTAATAATCACTCTGGAACTCTATTTGCAAATTGTGATACTCCTTGGAGGAGAAATCTCATCTCCCAGAACAGTGGAAGACATTCATATACGCCCTCCCATCAGATGTCAAGGAAATAAACAACTATCTGGCTTTTAGAAGACATCTGAAGGCAGCCCTGTTTAGGGAAGTTTTTATGTTTGATGTTTTATCATGTTTTTAATATAAATTATTATTACAGTCAACCTCGGGTTACAGATGCTTCAGGTTACGTTTTCTCGGGTTACAGATCGCCAAAACCCGGAAGTACTGGAACAGGTTACTTCTGGGTTTCGGCGGTCGCGCATGCGCAGAAGCGCTGAATCGCAACCCACGCATGCGCAGATGTGCTGCTGCGGGTTGCGGACACTGCGGATTGTGAATGTACATCCCACACGAATCACGTTCGCAACCCGAGAGTCCACTGTATTACTATTATTATTATTATCATTATTATTATTATTATCATCCCATTTTCTGGATTGATATTGAATAGTAGCTCATGTAAAAAAAGATCCTTGCTATAGGGACAAAAATTAGCTTGAGGAAGTTTGTTGCATATTATTTAGGTTACGAGTTTACACGTGGGAACGCTACATATTCTTACTTCATCTGTTCCATAACACTAAAACAGATGAAATCTGGCACATATGAAGATCACTTAGGCACCAATGCAACAAGTCTTAGGACTGGACTGTGTAACAAAGATAAACATTTAGGTCATATACCATATGTGTTGTGAAAAGAGGGAAACCTCATTTCGTAGTTATTTCCATTTAAATTTTCTAACCCATCTTCATTGAATAATGATCCTAGAGGGATACAGCATGAAAAACATAAAATAATAGTTACAAATTGGCAAAATGTTCAGAGTTTAAACCAACATATATAACTTTAAATACTTGAATTTAAATTAGTCAAACTACTTGCCAGGGTGGGAGGAATGGCGCTCTTCTCTGTTCTATGCAGACATGCTCTAGGTAAATTTTCTAGGCTATACAGCTGTATTATTTTAAGAGTGTAATTCTAATTCAGTGGGCTAAACCTGATAAGATTTAGAGGGGCTTAAAGATAGCTCTGATCTGGACATATCAGCAGAAATTTCTTTCCCTTATTTCATTATCAGTAAGGGGAGGATATATATAAGGTACCCCTGACCGTTAGGTCCAGTAAAGGTATCCCTGATGGTTAGGTCTAGTCGCGGACGACTCTGGGGTTGCGGCGCTCATCTCGCTTTATTGGCCGAGGGAGCTGGTGTACAGCTTCCGGGTCATGTGGCCAGCATGACTAAGCCACTTCTGGCGAACCATAGCAGTACACAGAAACACCATTTACCTTCCCGCCAGAGCGGCACCTACCGTATTTTTTGCACCATAGGACACACTTTTTCCCTCCTAAAAAGCAAGGGAAAATGTGTGTGCGTCCTATGGAGCGAATGCAGGGGGAGGCAGGCGGGAAAAGCCCCCAAGAGCCGCACACAAGCTTCGTGCGCTCTTGCGGGCTTTTCCCCAGGAGGGAGAAGAGACTGACTGGCTGCATCAGTCCCTTCTCCCACCTCCCAGAAAAGCCAGGAGAAGCCGCGCAGCCCCTTTAAAGAGCTGGCGGCTTCTGCCGGTTTTGCGGGAGGTGGGGGAAGCTGCAGCGGATTCCCTCCTCCCTGGCTCCCTTTGAAGCAGCAAAGTGGGAGGGGAGCAGCTTACACTCATGTAAGCAGCTCCTCTCCCACCTTCCTGCTTCAAAGCAACCACGGAGGAGGGAAAGAAGGGGACCATGGATCCTCCGCTGCTCGTGGCTGCAGCGGATTCCCTCCTCCCGGGCTCCCTTTGAAGCAGCAAAGTGGGAGGGGAGCAGCTTACACTTGTGTAAGCAGCTCCTCTCCCACTTTCCTGCTTCAAAGTGGAGGGAATCCACTGCAGTTGCGAGCAGAGGATCCATGGCTCCACTTCCTTCCCTCGAAGCAGGGTGCGGGGGTGCAGGGCGGAAAGAGGGCAGGAAATAGATGCCGGGCAGGAAGACACAACCACACTTTGACCACTGGAAAGTCCACCTCAGCATCCCCAGATTTCCACTGAGATGGCCAGGCTAATCTCAATGGCCATAAGTCAGGTTCAGCATTATTAACTGGACTTAGATAAGCCATGGTTCCCCTTCCTACCCTCCTCTGAGGCTCGATTTAAAGCAGCAAAGCGGACAGGAGCCGCCCGCTTTGCTGCTTTAAATAGTTTAGTGCAACAGTTGGGGACTTCCGGGTCAGCGCCATCGGTGAATGGCGGAGTTCCTCCAACCGGAGGAACTAGCTCCGTGAAAACTGGGTCTTCCCGCTGCGGCGAAGGCGGGGACCCACTAGAAATCCCAGGCGGAGGAAGCCTGGGAACGTGGGGTTCGGCAGGGCACCAGAAGTGCCCCCTACTCACCGGGAACCCCTTTTTGGGGTGCCGGATCGAAGCGGGGTGAGTGGCGCGGTGCTGCGAACTGATTGCTACTTTCACGGAGTGAAGCCGCACAGCCATTGCCGGAGAGCGCTGACTTTTTCCTGTGGACAATTGGATTTAAAACAAGTACCCGTGAGTAGAAACGGAAAATTGGATCAAGAAATATCTTAATTTGGCATCGAAGCGGGAAGGTTCAGAACAGGAAGTCCGCCTTCCGCTTTTTGTATATAGACTAAAGCAAAAACTTCGTAAGCTAAAGCCTGGAAAGCTGTCAAAAAAGTCTAATTTTCCTTCATTCAGAACTACTGAAACCCCCTTGGAAGCAGGAGAAAAGGGGGGGGGGATTTTGTTTAACCCCTGCAGGAGAGGGAGTGAGAAGGATGAGTTTCCACCGTCTCTAACCTGGGAACGGGGTGTCAGAAACAGAAATTGTAGGTTCATTGACTGTGAATGGAATATTTTGACAGATAGTTAAAGAAGAGAAACAAGCTGATTCCAATGTTGCCTTTTGCATCTTAAAGAAACAAAATATCCGGAAAATATCTGAAAAACGAAAGTAATTTTCCTTTGTTGGACTTGCCTTAAAAAAAAAATGGATACAAATAGAAATTGTCTCCTCTAGAGGGAGCTTGTTAAATTGTTGCAGCAGTATACTTTAGGACTCAACAGCTGTGAGATTAAGACCGTGGGAACAGTCTTTTCTGACCTTGCCTAAAGATGAGCTGGGAGGAAGATTGGGTGCTTGCCTTATGCAAGACAAGTGCCCTGTTGGAACAGATGCATGAGAAGATGGACTTGATGAATGAAAAAATGGATTTGATTGTTGTGGTTAATAACTGTGGACAAACAGGGAATATTGATATAGAAAATATTCAGGGACCAACTCATGAATCTGTACTGACTGGGCAAGAACAGAAGATAATGGAGGAGGATGCGGTTGCACCTCAAATAATACAAATGGAGAGACCCGAGGCCCTACAGGAGCATAAGCCGCTGTCATTGAAGATTGAAGTTGGAATGGGCCAGGGGGAATCTGGTGTTGAGGAGGTTCCTAACTTTGGAGAAAACTTGAAATATGTTTTTAAATACTTTTTGGATTTTATCGAGGACTGTGGGGAGTGGGACTTCGGGGAATGGGTGGGTTTGATGAAGGGAGATGGAGACAATTCTGGGTTGGAACCCCCCAGAGAACTACTCCTCAATGAGAAAGGAAAGGAATTAAGAAAGAGACCAACAAAAGACAAGGAAAAGGGCAAGTATAAACAAGAAGAAGAAGAAATGCAGAAGGGACATGGAAGAGACTTAAGGGCCTCGGACATAAGGCTTCCAGGTTGATGGACTAGATGGATTGGACAGTAAGGACTGACACGATCCGAGACCAGGAAGATGAGACGTTGGATGAAGATTGGAAGAAAATTTATAAAGGAAACTTTTTATTTAGGGAATTGGCTAAAAATTAATGAATATTAGGGAAAATGTCGGAATGAAACTATATGACTCTAGCAGAAATGATATCAGGAGTTATGTATATTTGAAAACTAAGATTTAAGCTTTTAGGTATTTTAGGGTAAGATAAGGTTAAATAAATTAAGGTAATTTGAATAACAGAATATGGGGAAAGATGGTAAGGATTTGCTGAGCTAATTATTAAGTTAAATTGTCAAGATAAAGAGAAAGATGGAAAGAATTTGCTGAAATAACTAATTAAACTAGAATACAAAAAGGGAGGTGTGAGGAGGTCAATGAAACAAGCAAATGGAAGTTATAGATATGTAATTTGGAATCTATGTTGTTTTCTTTTTTCTTTTGTTTTCCATTTTTCTTTTTCTTTTTTTGTTGTATTGTTGTTTCTTTTTTCTTTCTATGTATTATAGTGTTGTTTTTAATTTTTCTTTTTTCTTTATAACTTTGAAACTACTAATAAATATTATTTTTTTAAAAAAATAAATAGTTTAGTGCAACATTTGATTCAGAATATTTTTTTTGTGTGTTTTCCTCCTCTAAAAACTAGGTGCGCCCTATGGTCAGGTGCGCCCTATGGTGCGAAAAATACGGTATTTATCTACTTGCACTCTGACGTGTTTTCGAACTGCTAGGTTGGCAGGAGCAGGGACCGAGCAACGGGAGCTCACCCCGTTGCGGAGATTCGAACCACCGACCGTCTGATCGGCAAGTCTTAGGCTCTGTGGTTTAACCCACAGCGCCCCATATATATATATATATATGTGTGTGTGTGTGTGTGTGCGCGCGCGCGCGCGTGCGCATACACATACACACACACACACACACACACACACACACACTTAAAAGGTTAAACAAAGAATGTAGGATATTTGTGTACAGCACTTTATGTGGGCTGTATACAATTCTTTGTACAGTCCTTTTATGCACGTTTACTCAGCAGTATCACAACTAAGTTCAATGAGAATTACCACCAAGCCATTGTGGATGCTAAGCTGCATTGAACACAGTGGGACATACTTCACGGTAAACACTCTATTATAAATTTCCTCCTTCCTGTAGGTCTCTAATTGTCTGGGGGCTTCGTAACACTGGTATAGGCTACTGTCAGGAGCCTGGATGATGGAACAGATGGAGTTTGGGTTTGATTTATAATGACAGGTCTCATGCCTTCCTGTTTTACATAAATTAATTTAAAACATCGTAATCCCATGAACATAAAGCACCAAGGATTAATATGCACAAACCTCTACCAAAAGTAGAAACAATTCAAGTTAGCAAGTCATATAGTATTTTAAAAGTTAATTTAAAAAATCAAACATGAAGTGAGGCATAACTTACTTGAAACTTGCATCTTCCTGATGTTGGTTGGTGTTACCAAATGCTCTGTGTTTAAAGAGGAAACAATGAGTGTGTGCTGAATATTGATGAACTTAATCCCTTTGAGGATTACCATTATTTGTACCCCCTTGGAATACAAATGGCTTATTTCTGAATGGTCATTGAGACCAGTATACTGAATAATCTGTAGCATCATTAACCTTTAACAATTTCTGCAAAGAATTTGTGTGTCTGTATGTTGCAGTTTTTATATTTATAAATAGAATTGTGTTGCTGAATTGTGTGCGAGTTTTTAAAAGACTGTATAAAATAATATAGTATTTGCACAATAGAAATAATATACGTTGTGGCAATGTTTGCACTATTAAAAAGCAGAACATTTTTCTTTTCAAAGATTAAAAGCTGCTAGTGTCTTTTGTGAAAAGTTATTATGGAATTTGAGGTTTAATTTCCCCCCTACTTCTCTCTCTCTCTCCCCCCTCCTTTCCTAACCCCTGCCCAATTCCAGGAATTAATCCTTTGAAAGGCTGGAATTAAAGCATTTTGCAATGCAGAGGACTCTGACAGTGGAGAAGAAAGTTCCTGTTGCTGAGGAATCACTATTCATATCTACCAAAGAGAGCCAGGACTGTAGCAGACTCAGTCTGAAAAGGCAACGGTGCCACAAGCTACCATTGGAAGGAGCTGTCTGCATCTCTCGGTGCTCTACTGAGCATGTCCCTGAGGAGCCCTGTGCTAGCAGCACATTATGCAAAAAGGCAGCTCCAGCAGCTGGGAGAGAGGCAGAGCAAGCCTTTGCTCCGCTTGCATCACCGCCTCTTGAAAACAAACCTGGATTACTCGAGAGGTCCTCGCTGCCAGGCCAGCTGAATGAAGACGAGCGGCATGGCTTGATTCCTGACGCTGCACGATTGCTAAACAACATGGGGAACCAAGATGGGAAGCTGAAAAGGAATGCAGGTGATGTACATGAAGGAGGCGAGGATGGTTCTGGGCCCAGGGATGCAGAAGGCACAAAGAAGGGAGCAGGGAGCAAAAAGGGACTGGGGAGGTACGGCAAAGGGAATGAATCCGGCAAAAAAAAGGGGAAGTCAGAGTCTCGGGCATCTGTGTTTTCCAATCTAAGGATCAGAAAAAATCTGTCCAAGGCTAAAGATGGAAACAGCAGCTCGAGAGAGGATGTTTTAGAAAGCCAGGCCTCACAAACAGGGGAGCTAGACAGCGCTCATTCGATTCTCACCAAAACTCCTGATATAAGCATTTCTGCAGATGAAGGGGGTCTCTCGGACACAGATGTGGATCATTTTGAAAATACAAATGAAAATCGTCCAGCTGCTGCCGACCCGCAGGATGGACAAAGGACCAGCTCCGGCTCCGATACGGACATATACAGTTTCCATTCAGCCACCGAACAAGAGGATTTGCTTTCTGATATCCAGCAGGCTATTAGACTGCAACTGCAGCAGCAGCAGCAGGGGGCAATTAACATTGGAACGGAGCAGCATGGCACCAAAACAATGGACCTACACATGGCTAATTCTCAAGCAACCCCCTTAGGTTTTGAAAGGTTTCTTTCACTAAGCAGCGACAAAGACAGCAGTCCAGATACTGAACAGCCTGTCTCAGCGAAATCGGAAATTACAGAATATATTGCCACCTGCGATACCGAAAGTGAAGCGAAAGAAGCGACAAACGTAATGGGGCATTCCTGCAGCAGTGTATTCAGTATGCAGGAAGAGCACGGGCAATTGCCAGAGGAGCAGGACCAACCGGCTCGTGAACTGAAAGATTTACCCCCTTTAAATGCTGCAGTGGCAGAGAATGGGGCTGTGCTAGGCAGTTCCGTGTTTAATTTTCCATCCCCAGCTGGCGATTCAGAGGCTAAAGGAATAGCTGTTGAATTTTCAGGTTCAAAAAGAGAGGATGATATTGTAAACACAGGCCACGATCAGGTTGGTGGAGCCAAAGAAAGGAAGCAGAGTTTGTCAGCCAGCAGAGAGGCGCTGGACGATGGGCTTTCTTCTGAACTGAAAAATGGTACTTTTTCCTCTGAGGATCTCTCAAGCAGTCCTGTGCGTAGTTCCAAATGTTTTAAGCCCTATCCTCTCATCAATCCCTGCTACATCAAAACCACCACTAGGCAGCTGAGTTCCCCAAATCACTCACCTTGTCTCTCCCCATCCCAGAGCCCACTCTTTAAAAGGAGACGCGAGAACTCTCAACGGAAGGAGAGTGCGCCAACCAAGAAGCAGAGGTCGGCCAGTTTGGCAGGTTCATTTAGTCGATCAGCAGACTGGACAGATGAGATTTCAGATCACAGAGCTGAAATAGCTCAAAAGTCAGGCTCGGCAGATTTCTTGGAATACCGGCGGAGTAGAGATGGTTTTCAAGGCGAAAGAGTGCATTTTAATCACTCGAGAAAGTCGTCAGGGACATCAGCTTCTACTGATGCCTTCCCCAATGTGTTTAGAGGTGAGTGACATTGGTAAACTATGGTAACCCTTGCTGTGACCTCGGGTCTGAAAAGTAGGTGGCTAGAGTACGGTAATTAACATGCTCTATCTATCTTGGTCTGATTTCAATTGATATTTAAAGTCAGTTTGCAAACTCTACAACTTTTTATGCATGCAAGTTCTGTGGGCTCAGTGGATATGTCTGCAGCACTTGTTTAAAGTACCTGTTTAGAATTTTGTTTTATTCAGCGTACCCATCAGGCAACTGATAAAGTGTCTTATAAATAAACAGTGAGCTCTGTGTATACAGCCCAGCAGACATTATATTTTGGGGAGCATTGTGTGTGCCTACTGCATCTGTTGCTCATCATTATTTGTTAGTATTTTATTTATAAAAATATTTATATACTGCTATATCACAAAAATATATCAAAGCTGCTAGGAGTGCAAAGTGCTTTACAGTCCTGGCGGGGATTTATTTCACTTTCACAACTCGCGCATTAATTGTAAGTAATACATTAGAATTGCAAGTCAAATTTTATGAATATGAACCCTTGATTAAATATGACTTGCACATGGTCACCATTGAGTCATGGCAACTGAATCCAGGTTTGCCTGGTTGAAGCTCAACACTCTTGTCACTAGGCCATGCTGTCCTTTGGTTGATAATCTGCATAAATAATGTTCATGTAAATAAGGCATACCATGGATAGGTATTTGCACAAGGCTAGCCACTGACATCATGGCTGTCTTGGGGTTTAAAGAGCTGATATCTCCTTAGTCCAGTGGTACAGAAGTCTGCAACACTTGGCTCAAAGGATGTGTCTGGTGTGCTAGAGCTTGTCCCTTGGCCTGGATGGCCCATTACTGCTACTGCTTGAAACCTACTTTTGAGTAGGTTATTCCTGTGTGTGTGTGTGTGTGTGGTGTTGTCTGCATTTTTACTGTTGGGCCAGATGTTCTTTACTTCTTCATTCAACCACAGTGACCGTTAGGTGCCATGAAGACACTTTGAAGAATAATATGTAAGGCATCAGAGGTAAACTTTGAAAGGTATCTTCAAAGTTTGGTTTAGCTTCATGGATGACCTCAATTTTTCTTAAAACTTCTAATATCATTATTAGAAATACTGGGTCAGTATACATAGAAGGTCTGGGAAGGGAGAGCTGGGTCTGGAAGAATTGCTATATTCAAATCCTGTTTGAATTTAGCATTGCTCCTTTAAAAAAGAAAACCTGTTCCAGGAGCTTTGTTCTTAAACTACAACGGGAAGAAAATAAACTACATCAATTTCTTGGCCAGGGTAGTCCCCCCCTCCCCACCATTCAGGAAGCATGTTGGAAGGTTAGAAGGGTTTCAGTCCTGTGAATCAACAGCCTCTGCTGGTGTGACCCTCACATGCCCCCGTTTCCCGCTCTCCAGGTTTGGATAGAGAGAAATTGTGAGGTCTTTCTCCTTCCTTGGAGGGGAAAATTATTTTAAAATCCTGTCTCTTGGATGTCACAGGCCATAAATTTGCAATATTAGTTGAAATTCATTCCCATTGAAGTAATGAGATTTCACTAAGGTCACATGTACACTACACTTTTAAAGTACAAACCTTCCCCGAAGAATGTTTGGTTTACTCCTTATAGAACTACAATTCCCAACACCCTTAACAAACTACATTATTATATTATTTCTGCAGAAAGCAAATAATTTGAATCAAGTGCATGTTTTGTGGAGCAGTTGTGAAAGTTAATGAAAGTGGAACAGTTTGGAGTACTGCATATAAAAATGATTTGAGTGTTTTCTTCTATTCTGAAGTGTTAAGCAGACTCACTGGTTTCAAAGTATTATTATGCTATTAATATAATTGTATGTCTTATTAATTGCTCAGAGGAAATAACTTTGTTGATTGTAGTCTTTTAACCAAAATTGCTAATTCACACTGCAATCCAGAATTCATTTAAGACAGTGATATAATTCCCATGGATTTAATGGTGTTGTATAGTTGAGAGAGTATTAGACTGGTTCAAATCTTTACTCAGTATTAAAGTTCATAGGG